CCACCATGGAACAGAGCCTCCCCCTGCCCCCCACCCCGACTCTGAGGCTGGGCAGCATCGCATGGAGCCCCCCACTCCCAGGCCAGGGCAGCGAGGGGGGGTAAGGGGAGGAGGAGGAAGAGTCCCCATCCAGCACCTCACAGAGTCCTCCTTCCCACCCTGTGGGACAACCAACCCAGCATGGCCCTGTTAAGGTGAAGGGTGCAGGGAGAAGGGTTAATTCCTCCCTCCGTCCCTTCCCTGCAGCCTGGGTCTACCAGCTCCAGGGGCCACTGCTGCAGCCCCCTCCCCTCTGCTCCCCAGCAGACAGGCTGACCCTGGGTGCAGTGGGGGAAGGAGGGAAGAATTAACACCCGCCCTGCCCACTTTGCCTTAACAGGGCCATGCTGGCTGGTCCCTCCACTAGGGCCGGTCCCTGCTCCCGCTAAAGAGCGGAGTGGAGGGGCCAGCTCTGCTGTGGTGCAGAGAGCCCCACCCACCCAAGAGAGCATGCCAGGATGCTGGGGGAGTCTGATTTAACTTAAACTAGCAAGGGGTCTGGGACAGGCATTGCATAAACTAGTTTGAGCCAAATCAGTTAAGTCTGATACTACATCCAACCAGGTTGATCTCAAACTGGTTTCAGCCATTTTGAAACTGGTTTATGTGAACTAAATGTCTCTTCTGTTACAGGTTTAAACCAGTTTCTGATCATTTAAACCAGTTTATGTGTAATGCCCATCTCTAGCCTAGGAGTCTAGTCTGCTGGGTAAACTGACTGACTGCATGGCTGCTATAATCAGGAGTGAGAAGTTTAAATAGGAAAGAAACACAAAGATTAATTGTATCTAGAGCAAAGACTGGCTAAGTGACAGAACATAAACAAGTAACATGCTTTCAAAGACAGCAAAGGTTAGTTTAGGACAATGCACATAGAAGAGAATACGGCTAGGGGAAACGGAGATGTTGATTAAAGGAATGTTGTTGATGAAGGGAATGAACAGGAGATTCTCTTCTCATAACCCCCCACCTGGCCTAGCCCACACTGGTTATGGGGGTAAACTGACAAAAAAGTGGTAGTAACTTCAAACAAGTTGTCAGGCTCACTTGGCCACACCCAGGCAGCAGCAGGAGCTCCTCAACTGAAAGCAACAACTTGATAGCTTTCCTCCCTGATGCTTTCCCCTCCTTCTCCCCGACTTAGACATTGGCCCATTGAGTGGCACCCTCTTGGGGAGTTTCACTCCTTCTTAGTAGGAGCTCTCATAGCTTCCTGGACCTGTACTGTAACATCTCCTCCAAACGCACCAGGGAAGCTTCTGGGGTAGAGTCACATCTTTGGGAATGTGCCAGGAGCTGCTTCCCCTAACTGATTGCTAATGGAGCCCAGACAATAAGAGAACTCAGGGAATCTTTTACTTAAAGGACTCAAACCCATCAGCTATTAAGTACTTAATGGCCTACCCAGATAGGGTAAATAGCCTAAATTATCTCCAGCTTCAACAAATAATTCAAATAGAGTAAGATAAATGTTTAGCAAAACAGCACTTTACCAGACATTTTCTTTTGAGTGCCAATAACAAAGTTCATCTCCTTTCATCTGAAACTTTGTTATTGCAGACACAGGCTCCCCTAGCACAATAAACTCATTTCCACTTGATTGCAAGCCTAGCTTCTCCCCGCCCATATACTTCCTAACAAAGTAGTGCTTTCCTCTCTCAGTTTAAACACACAATCCACAGCTAAAAATCAGGTAATGCTGGAACTTCAGAAAACAAAGCAACAAGAGGTGAGGAGACAGTTTCCTGGTTCACTGATGTAACACTTGGGAGAGAGATATGTATTTTTTTCTGACAGGCTATTTTTCTTTTAAGGGAAAAATAATAAGAAAAAACCATTGTTCCTACCCTTGCTCAGGTCCCTGGATCAGAGCCTCTAGGAAGGTGGGACGTGGCTTCTCCTCAGTTGTACTCTCTGGCCAGGTTTGCACAAACATACATGGAACTCCACTTATCAGCACAGCTGGCGTTTCACTCCTTCCTTCTCAGCCCTGCTCCCAGCACACCCACTGCTCTCCCAGGCTTGATGACTTCACTCTCCCACCTTGTGTCAATCCAAACACCGGCCGAGCGGGGAAGGAGGGAGGAAGGGGGCTCCTTCCCTTTCAGATCCCTGCCAAGTGGACAAATGAAATTAATTACAATTTGAGCCCTGGTTGATACGGATTATTTCTGTCAGCCTTCAGAAACCACCAAAAAAGGGATCTGGCAGTGACTAGCTGCGTGCAAGAGAAGCTCCTCCTCTGGAGAGGCAGGGGGAGGGTGTTGCAAAGGTAGAGTGACTGTACACATGGACTTCCTGCTGGCATTAATACGAAACTAGGGGTGTTGAAATAATATTTGTAGCTCTGTTGTGTACAAACACAGGCACATGCACAGACCTGAGCATGCGACAGCTAAAATACAGCTTTTTAAAAACTTAAATTCCTTCTTTAAACAAAGGCAGATAAGGTTTATTGGGTAAATTTGATCTCTTTTGTTAGACCAATTCAAATAGTTGGAAAAATTCTTCTTTGCAAGCTTTCAGGTATAAATATCCTTCGTCAGGCTGAGGAAGCATCTGCAGTTGGTGTGTGCATTTCTTTAAACAAATACAGTAATTCCTATGGCCCTCACATTAAAATCTTATTAAAATAGACCAGGTAATTTTCCTCTGCAGAGTGAATACAAGACTTTCATTCACGCCAAAGCTTCTGCTGACAAAGCAACCATGTAATGGTGCTACAGTTACATTCGAGGAGACCTTTTCATGTCAGTTTTTTGTTAACTTTCAACATGTCTGAAATATTACCCTCAGCCCAATGTTATGTGCGCACATATGCTTATTGCCAACTGACAGTGACCTCTTGGGGAAGTTCAATAATATATTCATAGATTTCATAGACATCAGGGCTGGAAGGGACCTCGGAAGATCATCGAGTCCAGCCCCCCGCCCAAAGGGCAGGAAGTCAGCTGGGGTCATAGGATCCCAGCAAGATAAGCATCCAGTTTCATCTTGAAGGTGTTCAATGAAGGCGCTTGAACCACCTCCGGTGGCAGGCTGTTCCAGACCTTGGGGGCTCGGACAGTAAAGAAGTATATATAATATATATAATAGCAACTGCTTCAAATATGCAAGGAAGGTAAGTTACAGCTGCCATTAGAACCACAACCAAAATAAGCTAAGGAAACTTAAAAGTAAAGTTTTCAGCCACAATATTGTATTACCCTGGAATCATATTACACACTACCAAGCCATTTCCAGTTCCTTCTTGCCCTCCTTCTTTCATATAAAAAAATAAAAATTATAATAAACTCTCTGACTCCTCACTGAGCACTTAGTTTCATAGTTGGTAGGGTCAGAAGGGACCTGAGCAGATCATCAAGTCCGACCCCCTGCCATGACAGGAACAAGTACTGGGGTCAAACGACCCCAGCAAGGTGTTCGTCTCACCTCCTCTTAAAGACCCCCAGGGTAGGAGCCAGCACCACTTCTCTTGGAAGCTGGTTCCAGGTCCTAGCTGCCCTGACAGTGAAGTAGCGCCTCCTGATGTCCAGTCTGAATCTACCCTCTGCCAGCTTGTGACCATTATTTCTAGTCACTCCTGGTAGTGCTCAGGGGAACAGGGACTCCCCTAATGCCTGCTGGTCCCCTCTGACTAGTTTGTAACAGGCCACTAGATCCCCCCTCAGCCTTCTTTTGTGGAGGCTGAACAGGTTCAGGTCCCCTAGCCTCTCCTCGTAGGGCCTGCCCTGCTGACCCCTGATCATGAGGGTGGCCCTCCTCTGAACCCTCTCAATGCTGTCCACATCTCTCCTGAAGTGCAGTGCCCAGAACTGGACGCAGCACTCCAACTGCGGCCTGACCAGTGCCGCATAGAGGGGGAGGATCACCTCCTTGGACCTGCTTGAGATGCATCTGTGGATGCATCTCAAGCATTCACAAACTTCTCCCTTCCAAATGAGCTGCACTGCAAGGATTGGGCCACATGAAATTCTGAAAACACTGGAAATCCAGATGAGGCCCAGCCAATAGATGGCACTATTTTACCAGGAAGAAACAGCAACATTGCCAGTGTAGCACCAAGAGAGATGTGGAAGGGCAGTGATGGGCAGCTGATTTGCAAAAACAGAACCTGAGTGGAATTCAGCACTAGTTTTTGGCTCTCAAAGAGATCCCAACCATCTCAGATATTTCACCCCACCCAAATCTTTGACCTGGTTTCAAGAGAAACTTCCTTCCCTCCCATCGAGAGCCTGGCAACTTGAGCCAGATCTTAAACTCTTGCCTAGTAGAAAGGCCCCAGCCACAAGTCTTCCCTAGGCTACCAAGTTGACTGACACACCATCTCCTTCCGAGAGTACCTACCTTCACTCTCAAAACTATGCATGCACCCAGCAAATCCAGCATGCACTGAACCTCTTAAATCAGTGATCCCAGACAACAATCAACTCATTCTCACCTACCACAACACTCCTATATGCTATCCCACACCCTGTAACTCACCATCACTAGCCTGACAGCTAGGTTTTGAGCCACTGCTTGAGAAAAGATGCATTGGTCAAATGCATGTATGTAAAAGTTTTAAGATTATTTGCAAAATATTTCCAGACAAGCAAATTAGCTCAGTAAATTCACATTAATTGTCACATAGACAATAAATTTGGTCTCAGGAAGCAAGAGACACAAGTCATCCACTACAGCTTGATAGAGGGCTGTTTTGTGGCCAATCTAACCATTGACCTGCCCACCTGTCTAGGGCAGCCCACCCACCTGCCTCACCTGCCACACCTTTGATGTAACCAAAATAGATGCTTATAAGGCGGGGGCTGCCCATTTAATGCCCAATGCCAAGGGCGTAATATACGTCTCTGTACTACCCCTACACACTGTCCCATGCCTCACAGATGGCATCACTATGTGGCTGTTGCCCCACACTGGGCCCCATTACATTCCAGTCTGTCATGTTGGACCCCAACCCGGGTCCCTCCTAATCAGGTGGCCTAATCTCCACCATCTTGCAGGACTGCAAACTCCCTAGAACCCTTTCCATCTCAGCAGTGGCCCCCTCTGGGACCTTTGGCCACACAGGCCCTGGCTTCACCTCTAGGCCAGTTGGAACTCCAGGCCCCTGGCTCTGAGCATCCCTTGTGGCCCTTTGACTGTTCTGGTCCTGGCCCCAGCATTGACCAATCAAGGGTTTCCTGGCTAGGTTCCTGAGCAGTTAGCCCTCTCCCTCACACATGCCCCCTCACCAGGGCTACTAGGCCTTACACCCGTTGGGCCTCAGGCCCCTGATGACATGCCTGGACCCCTCATCTGTCCCTTCTACAGACCCTGTTACCTTCTACAGGGTAACCCACCAGGTCATGGGGGCTGAGGCTATACAGAGCCCCATCCTCACTTTTCACTGGGGAAGCACAGATGTGGCGTTTCCTAGTGACCACCCTGCCACAGGCAGTCCCACCACAGGCTGTATTTTTAGGTCATTCCCCAGGACCAGGAACCTCTTCCACCCCCATACTTCCTATCCTTGACCTCCAGGGAGTCTGGGAGCAGTAGCTCCAGCTGGTGATGTTATCACCTTAGCTCCCTGCAGCAACTGCCTGCTTAGGTCTGAGGACCTGGGTTTATACTGAGGCTGCCCAGCCTCATCCTCCAATCCAGGATTCTTCTTGCAGTCATGTGACTGCCTCGTTAAGCCTCACCACACCTGCCAGCTGCTCCACAGCCTGCTCAAACATCTTAAAGTGGCAGGCACCAAAGGTACCCTGCGACACAGTTGGATGATGGAGTGATCCCACATAGCAGCCCCCACTGAGACCACCAGTTCTGGGAATTATGTCTACCACTGGGACCTACAGGCATATGCAGAACCAGCTTCTAATACAGGCATACATTAAAAAGTAACACCCATAGCAGTAGACTTAGGAAGGCCCTCTGGATTGCCTTGGGTGGATCAAGGTAGAAACTGAAGTTTCTCTTCAACTGCACTTTTTACAGTATTAATTTATTTTTTCTTGGAACTTCTTTTTTTTAACAAGTCTTGCAATTTTTCCAGTTTATCTGATGTATTTTTGGAGTCTGCCTCATGAATTTTTGAATGTGCAGGGTTGGCACTATGGCACAACATCTAACACTACATACAGAGGGAGTTATACTGGACTAGGACAAATCAAACAAAAGAAAAACATCAGTAGTGGAGTTTTCAAAACAGAAGAACCTACCAGGAGCTTTCCTTTTACAGCTCATCTCCACAGGGGTCACTTTGTAGTATTCTTAAAGTCAGGGCTTTCCCTTCCCCCTCTCCTTAGAAGTCTGCAGCAACCCCTGTGAGAAAGGGTGGTACTAAGTCCTTTTCAAAGTGAGCAAAAAAACCCAAATATCTTTCCTACCACTCCTCAGCTCACCAAGTTCTGTTGGTCTCACTGACAAAGTAGGGTGTATGCCAGCCCATTTTCCCTGCATCCTTGCTTTGTCTAAGACAGCTAGTCTTCAAGGATCTATATTCCTCATTAGTGAGGGACTACAAATAGAGTTCCAGCCTATCCATGTAATTCCCCACCTTGAGCTATAAAAATATGACTAAAAATATCAAACATAAATGGCTTCTTCCAGAGTTTCTTAAGGACTTTGTTCCCTGTTTTATAGCTGTGCTCTCAAAGGAAAGCCCCAAAAGCTTATCTTAGCTTTATTAAATATCAAGTACAAATCTAAAAAATCTAAAACCAGGCACTTACATTAGGGAAAATAAATTAACCAATCTATTACAAACTGATAGTGGCTGAGGAAAACAATGGGGACAATGTGAAAACTAGATGGTATCAAACAATCTGCTCACTAGATTTTGAACGTGGTATTCTCCATTCTCTTCAGTGCCAAAAATGCTAGCAATAAGGCTAAATTTGAACTGTGCAAGTATTTAGGGATTGTCTGTGATGGCACTTACCAAATGACCTTCTCAGTGTTTGTAAATTAAATTGCCCATTATTGACACACATTTTCTCTTCTATACCCCAGTGTAAACTGGGACCATCAATGGAGCTACAGAAGTCAAATGACAAGCCAGAAGAACAGTCTGATGAATAAAACACTTCACTGGGACCCTAGAGATCTGGGTTTGGTTCTCACCTTGAGGGTGTTTGAGGAAGTCACTTTATCTATACCTCAGTTCTTCATTGATAAAACGAGGAAAATACTTCCTTTCCTCTTATCCTTTCTAGTTAAGGCTGTAGGCTCTCAGGGGCCCACTATCCCCACATGAGCAGTGCCAAATACAGCAGGCTCTAAT